TGCGCGCCCTGCCCGCCGCTCCAGGGTTTTCTTCGGAGATTTCCCCGTCTCCTCCTGACGTCAGCCCCGTCCCAGGGTGCCGCACACGGGGGAGGGCCGGGGGCAGGGCCGGCCGCACCGGGAGAACGGCGGAACCCGCAGCCCCGGGTCCTGCATCTCCGTCCCGCGGCAGCGGCATCCCGGGTCGGGCCCCCCCGCCCCACCGCCGGCGGCTCGGTGCTGCTCCCCGGGCGGCTGCGTGCTCAAGGTTCCACGGCCCCTGCCCTCTTCATTTCCTCCCGGCTGGTTTTCTTCGGCTGAGGGGGCAGGGAAAGCAGTGGCCACTTTTTTTTTTTTCTTTAATTTTTCCCCCAGAGAGAAGCCCTGAGGAAACGCTCCTGCTGCAGTGTTTGGTATGGAGGTGAGGCAGCAAACAGAGCTGGAGCAGAGGCTGAAGGGAGGCCGTAGGGTTGCAGGGATGAGTTGCATGGGTCTGGAATGCTGCGCTTCCCCAACAGCCCTACATCCCTCCCCAGACCCCTTTATCCTTTTTAATTTTCAAGTGAATGTTTTGAAGTTTCAGATGCTTTGCCCCCAGTATGTGCCCCCCTCTTGGGTTTTGGAGAGCCTAACGGATCATTCTGAAGGGAGCAGCATCCAATCGTGCAGGGACCAGGCAAGCACCACAGTGGGGACATGGCTTGTGCTTTGCTAAGGACAGAGGGATACACATGCACGTACACCCAGCCTGTAGTCATAGCCGAAAACCAAGGACAACGAATATGGAATGGATCAGAAAGATAAATAGCATAAAATCAGGAACAGTCCGGTCCCACACTTGCCATTTGTTATAGAGAGAAGAAGTAAATGGGATTCACATGTCGAGCATTAGCTGGTTGTTAGTCTGTAAGATAATATTAACTTTAGTGCTTGCTGGTTTACTCCAGTTTTCCAAAGGCAGTTCCAGGAGGCGCCCAGCCTGTAATTTAGGATGGCACATACTGTGTGAAAGAGGCTTTGGCACTGGGGCCTACCAGCACGTCAAGGTGATATTAACATAATAAAACGTTTGGAGAGCGAGTAGGAGCTCATAAATTAATGCATTCTACTGTTTTAATGTGAGGAGCTAACAATGCGTTTCCTGTTGGGCTGATCGTCCCCACTGCAGCCTAACAGCTGTTTTAAAGGTGCTGTGAAATTAAAGAGAGGGAAGACGATTGTCTTTAAATCAATGTTTAATGATGTGTTATTAGGAGAATAAGTCTTCCTCCAGCAGATGTTTACATGCTGAGGATGGAGGGAGCTTCCCTGGCTGTCTGAGTGCCTGAGCAGTGTGGGTGAGATGCCCCCTGTCCCTCTACAGATGGCCCCAGTGTTCCCTGTGCAGGGTCAAGGAGCCTTGGTGGATGGCTGGCACTGGGAAAGGCTTTGCCCAGGTCTTCCAGTGGGAGCTGAGGAAACTACTCCAGGACACTGAATGACCACGAGGTTTTGTGTGGTGGCTATGGACAGATGAACATGGCAAAAGGCAAAGACTTCCTACCCACATTCAGCATAGTTCAGGGCTGCTGGGACCCTTTTCCTGCAACAAACAGACGTGCAGGTGCACGTGTTGTAAAGAGATTCCATTTCTCCTTGCCTAGGAGATGATACTTGCTGGGTATGAGTGGGCTGGAAGCATGACTGAGCCCCCATGGAGGTAGAATGAGGCTCAGATAGCTCAGCAAGGCTGAGATGCCTCTGGCCATGCACTAACAACAGGCTCCAGGTACTAGAAAATACATGTACCTTTGAGGCAAGACGTGGGAGTGAGCTCTGGAATGTGGTACCTGAAATAAGCAAGCATCCATCTGTAGGTGCCCAAGGCTTGTCATTTTTTTGTGCTTGATCTGAAGATGCATGAATGAGTCACCACGCCTGTGGGTTTAAAAGATGGACATCATAAGGCTTCCCTCTTAGAGAAGACATCAGGTGGATTCAGATGCCAAAAGTACATGGGGGTAGATGCTGGCAGGGTTGCTTGGGGCTGATGGAAAGTTTCACCTGCTGCTGGGCACCTTATTGCCAGGTGAACTCCTGCTGCAGGCCAAAAGAGCATCAGATCATCTCTAGACCAACCCAAGCTGCTTCCCAAAGGCTTGTTTCCAAAACCAAGTGTGGTGCTACAAATTGCTCCTATGCAAACAAAGGAACCCCTTGTAAGTGCTTACTTTCATCATCACAAACATTCATTAAAGTCTCTCTTTATTTCCAAATATAGCAAAGAAATGGCTCTCCAAGATTGCCTGTTCCTTTATTCATGCTCCGTTAGTGCATCTTTGGAAAAGTGTCCAGGAGGCTGCACAGCTTCTCTGGGAGAAATGGGGATGTTTGGAACATGAGTGGATTCTAACATTTCTAAACTTCCCAGAAGAGGCAGATTGTAAAGGAATAAGATTCTTTCTGTGCACGCACATTTGCTTTGGAGCCAAATGGAAAGGAGAGCTCAGAAGTAAAAAAAAAAAAGACAAATTGTTTGGAAAATGTTGTCCTTCCCAAGGCAGACCTAACCATATGGGGGGAAGGCACTCAATACCGAATTTTTCCCTTTCAGTCCTAGTCCAGCAGCCCTCTCATTCACTCTGCTAGGGGATTGCTGTGAGTCAGACCTGCAAGATCATCCATTCAAAGCTGGTCATATTTCCAGCACTTCACTCCTCTCCTATTCCCTGCTGAAGCAAGATGGAAAGGATTCCCCCCTCCCCAGATTTATGATGAGAGCAGCAGGATGGGACCCAAGGCCATCCCCATCCCAGCCAGTGAAGAAAAAGGCAAAGCTGCTCCGGTGCTCTGAAGCACTGATGATCTGGTTTCTCCCTGGACAAATAGAGTGGTACGTTCTGATCTTGGTGGTGAGACGGAGCACAGAAAGGACTTTCTGTGGTGAGGAAACTCACCTCCATCATCCTCCACTCCTTTCAGTCATCAAACTTAACATTACTGTCATCTTTAAGTAATAAGTAAGTGTATAACCAAGATGTTACAGTCACAATATAATTGTTTATAATCAATAGATATCAAGATGTTATAATTGCAATATAATCAAGAGAGTAAGGCAAAGCAGACAACGATCACAAAAAGAGAATAAGTGGAAGAGCTTACCCTTGGGTTGAGCTCACCAGAAGATACCAAAGAGGGAAGAAGAAGAGATCCTTCCCCTCTGGCAGCCAGCTCTTAAATAGGTCCAGGAGGGGTGGAGCCTGGCTCCACCCCTTCGGCAGCACAGGTGAATTGCCTTCACCTGTGCTCCTCTGGCTGACTCAAGGCTCACCTCAGGTGATCAATCAGAGGTTCAGCAGTTCCCATACAGTAAGCTCAATATTTTATGCGTTCCCAATTATTAACGGTGGCATTTATTGAAGAACAACAAAAGCAGCAGCAGTTGTGT